TGGGATGGCTGCGCTGGAGGAGAACAGCGCTGGGCTGCCAAAGCTGGATGCTCCGGAGCAAAGTTCAGCTCCCGCTGAAATCCACCCTGCACCGCGTAGCATAGCCAGACAGGAGGGAACGTCTTCCCAGACACATCCAGCGTGATGCCGGGTGCACGGAGTATCCTCTCACCCTGCTCACTCCAACCCTCGCCTCCCACCCCAAAGCAGCCTTGGTATTGCAGAAGCCCCTCGCTAATAAAGACTGGAGAGCTAATTTCCCCCCAGGGCCCGGGGGAAGGTTTCTCCAACGCGTATTAACTTTGGCGGCTTCCAGCAGAGCAATGTTAATAAACAGGGCACAGGAAAGCACAGAGTTACCGGCCTCTTAATCCCGCTTTGTTCCTCCTTGGCACCTTTCAGCCAGGCAGTTCCCAGCCCTCCATCAACACCTAAGGGATTAAGGGCTCCCCTGCGCTGAATCTGGCAGAGAGGATATTCACCTTCTCTAGGGGAAGGGGAAATTGAATCCTTGCGAGATGCTGGGAGGATGCTGAGCTGGGATAACTGCAAACCGAGGAGAGCTCCGAGCCATGGAGCCAGCTCCGATGATATCAGCACAGCAGGCAAAGCAGTCTCTGCACATCCAGCTCAAGTTCTCTCGCTAAACACTTTGCTGGTGTTAAAAATGCCACCAAAAGGATGAAACTCTTTGGAAATCTTTGCAATAAGCGACCAGCCGCGGGGATAATTTCACAGGCAAGCTGCCAGCCACACCGCTCAAAAGCACATGTGGTTTAAAGCACTTTGCCACTGAGGACCAGCTCTGCGGGCCGAGATGCTGAAGCAGGTGAGCATCATCCACTACAGCATCTCGCACAGTTTTCACATCCTGCACTGCAAGTAGCCCTGGAGAAACTACGTAGGACCAGCAAGACCAGTGAGGTTCAGGGAGAGCAAAGGATCAAGCTGGGATGGAGAAAACCCCACAATGCTTTAAGTTGCATTTTCCACCCCTTAGAAAGTTTTCGTGCAATTGCTGCCCACTGCCAATTGCCCCCGCAAATGCTCCCTGCTCGGTTCCCCACACGCAGAGGGGAAGGTGCAGGCCAGGTGCTTACGGGGAAGCTTTTGGGTGGGAAGGAGCACAAGAAACACCGCTCCAAGGAGCAGGCTGCAAAGCTTTTCCAAGGCTTTTCCTCCCTGTACCTCTTACGGTATCAATGGCCGGATAAGGCGAGTTAAAAGTTATCTTTAATAGTACCAAAGGGTCAGGACTAGAGGAACTCAAAAGGCACCTGTAATTTCTGCCTCAAAGAGTCATCCTGCCTGGAAAATGCTTAGTTTAGTAAAAAAAACTTCAGGATCCCGGCCCTGCTGATGGTTGCAAAGGGCTTTTCCTTAAACCGGGAGTGGGGCCAGCTCCACATCCCTCACGACGCCCAAGGCGGGAAGCCAGAAGGGTTTTGACAAGGGTTGCAAAGGGAGGTTACAAAATTTGGACAAGGATGCAAAAAAATAAACGACGGAGTGCAAGCACCACAGGAGAGCAGCCCTTCCCTGCCCACAGGGCTCCCCTCGTGCCTGACCCCGCTCTGGTCGGCGGGTTTCCCTTCTGGACCATGAGGTTCCCCCAAAATCCACAGCGATGCTCAACGCGGTGACACCATGAGGTCCCCAAGAAACCCCAGGCGGGGACTGGAGGTGCCGGGGAGAGGGAGGGGGGGCCGCGCAAACATCAAACCCGCTCCCCTCGCGACGGCGCCCGCGGGGGGCTGTCCCCGAGTGGGGAAGGAAGAGGCGTTGCCCTTTTAAGAGCGGCGCGGGGCCCCGCGCAGCTCCCGCGGCACAAGGCGCACGTGCCACGAGCAGCGGGGGAGGAGGGGGGAAAAGAGGGGGAATAAGGGGA